TGGGCGCCCCAGACGGGCTAACGTTGGCCCTGTGCGCCGCGCCCCAGACGGGCTAACGTTGGCCCTGGGCGCCCCAGACGGGCTAACGTTATATACTCTGAATACTCTAAGCTCTGTGATCGCTAACCTGTACGCTGCTGCTGCAGTGCATGCTGGGACAGCTGTCAGTCTGGAGAATGGACAGGTCTGCTCTGATGCAAGCTGGGTAAAGTGGGAGGGGCAGGAAATTTTCACCAGCACACGAGAACTCACAAACATTGAAGAATTTAGATTTTCTTTAAAATGAGGCTGTCCCTGCAGGATTGGACTGCTCCAGATGTCCAGCAGGACCTGTCCAACATGTCTCCCTTGGTTACGACCTGTTAGCTGCGTGCGTTACTCTGAACCATAGGAACAACTAGCCTGGAAATGTTTAAGCAAACTGCAGCTTCCTGTCTGCTTCAGATGCTGCCGCTGAATGCTGCTGTTTATTTATTTGTCGGGTGATGTGTGCGTAAGCGGCGCTGCGTGTTTCAGGTCAAACAGGTTTTTACAGCATGGACACCAGAGTCAATAAAGGCTTCAATCACTGCATTGGTTAGGAGGTATGCGATACTACTGATGATGTGAGGATGTGGTTTTAAAGGGAATGCTGAGGCCTTGATCTTCTCATACCTCAGAGATCAACTTTGATCTGTAGAGTTTAAAGGAAGAAAATCAGAGATTTGCTTCGTGTCCAACCAGACGCTTCGCAATAAAAATAAATCTTTTCAACTAAATAGAACTAAGATGATACCCATTTTTATTTCATCTTTGATTGTCTGAACATTGTTCTTTAAGAACTAGAAGGATATTAAAGGTCCAATAATAAATGAAGCTGGATTAATGGGGATTATTTTCTCCTCCATCAGGAAACATTCTGCATGTTTGCTTCTCCAGATGTTTCTGTCCCACCATGGAAAACCCTTGTTGGAAGTCAGAACGCTTCGTTTTCCAGGAGAAACGTAATCAGAGCAGCTCTATCTTCGCTTTGAAGGCCTAGATAATCATGTTTGGAATAGAAGCAGCGCTGTCCTGGTCAAAGGATGGTCAATAGAGAGACGCAGACGGCTGAGATCAACACGTAGCAGGACGCCACGCATCCACCTTATAGGCAGAGCAGCCCGGCCTGTTAGTTCAGGTTAGCTGCCGTAAAGGAGGCCATGGTGAGTTCTGGAGAGCATGGCGTGAAGAACGAGGCGTCATAAAGTGTAAATCATAATGGCTGCCCTGTTTCTAGTAAAGGAAA